GAAGAGGAAAGAAGACTAGGGGAAGAGGATAAGTAAGCTCGGGACGAGGAAAGATGGGGATAGGGGAAGAGGAAAGAAGACTAGGGGAAGAGGAAAGAAGACTAGGGGAAGAGGAAAGAAGACTGTCGGGCAGTCGGTGTTTTTTTTGTCGTGGGGTGAAAATAAGAAATTGTCGTGGTAACCAACGTTTTAATCACAGGGTTGCAGTTTCTTGGCGTGGTTAAGGCCCGTGCTGATTACCAGGAAGCCTCATGGTGCTGAATTCCCATTGGGTCCGTGACCAGTCCTACCAACGCCAAGTAGAAGAAATGGCACATGATTGTCCGTCAGTGGAATTCCATGGAACAAACTGTAAATCGCTGTGAATTGCTAGATGTTAAACAAAAACAAAACGCCTCCACAAGGAACAGGGAACACCTATGGGAGGTCTGGCTGTCTTTCGTCCGAACCCACGCGAGGTCTGTTTCAACTAGTGCTGGGATTACATATTTTTAGCAATCTAATCTGCAAAAAGTCCATACTTCCCACAAAGTGGCACTAGGGGACCCCAAGTACAGGACCTCATGGTGAGCTCGGCTAAAAACGCCCTCGCCATGACGTGGGCAAGTGCGATATGAGCATGTGTCAACTTTTGTGGCCCAACACTTGACCCCTCAAAGCGCTGGTTTCCCTTCAAAATTCAAACTGTGCTGATTGAAAAAGAACATCCCCCCCCCAATATTGTTTCCTGGGCTGCCCTCAGATGCCCCGCTACAAGTTTAACTTTCACTAAACACTAAAAGGCTAAAGGCTAAAAGGCTAAGGGGATGGCTGGGAACCACCAAGCTTCTTTTCAGCCGGGTTTCCACCGGTTGGCTTCGTGTTTCGAGTCCCAATCGCTCCTCCAAGAGCTCCAGCGCATTCTCCCAGGGTCCACTTCCAGCATAGGATTCCTCGGGTCGAGCGGCGAGCCTCACTTCCAATGATTCCAATGGAGTGGAGTGGTCAGAAGCAAGTCTACCTGGAGTCTCCTTCTGACGCTTTAACAATGGGTCCATGACCCCATTATTTTGGGTAACGACCCCATTGTTAAGGGTCATGGAGACTCCAGGTAGAAACTGTTTAGTGTACAACTAAATGGTCTTCCCAAAAAGTAGTTTGGAACATCTGGACACTTTTTTGGACCCGCAACATGTTGTCTCCATGTCCTCTGCCATGGTCCAAGTGACAGTAGGCTACCAACAAATTGGTCCCAATGAAACAATGGTGGCGGCCCCCACACCGATTTCCTCATATACGCCGTCAAAGTTGGTTGTTTCCTCAAACATGGACAAATTGGTGAGTCCCACGGTTGTGGTCCCCCAAGTCAATCCCTGGATAGGCCATAGAATACCGGACGTTTTGACCAGACCGGACCATTTTCGCCAGAACGACATGGAGAAAACACGAGTGAGCCCGCTGGTTTTGGATGTTCACAGGGTAGGGACCCTTAGGGGAAAACTACATTTGGGGATGGCCCCTTGTTTTTACCTCTAGCCACCATGTTGGGAAGACTTTCTCTTTTGCCAGGAGTTTTTTGCATGCTGATGGTTGCCTCCTGGTCATTTACTCAAATTTGGAGACCTTCTCTTTTACCAGGCATTTGCCTGAGTGATGGGCTCCTCTGGCCTTTCCGCCCGACTCCCCGACTCTGGGGACGGCTCCACTGCTGCGGCGTAGGTTGCTGGGCGAGTGCCCAAGTTCCGCCTGAAGCACCGGGTGGCCAGCAAAAAGGACATCCACTTTGGCGAAAGGGAAACGACTGGAGGTCAGTGGCAATCGGTGAAACCCTTGAAAATCCTTAAACCATATTGTTTTGCTTGCCCAGAAAGGTTGAATACTGGCACCACTGAATGTCCGACATCCTTTCAGTGAAAGGGAACCCATTCTTTGTTTGCTTTCCAGAAAAGGAACGGACTGGAGGTCTGGGAAACCAATAGCAGTCGAGAAAGTCCAGTGAATCAGTGAAGAGTGGCCACCCTCAAAACTATGGTTCCCAGGTCAAAATGGGGGCATGAACTGAACATGAGCTCTTCATTCATCCCCTCAGACTCATGGGCTACCTGCGGCAGCCTTGTATTTCTGCCAAGCGCAGCAATCAAACAAAGAGGCATCGAGTCGAGCGTTCCTGTTTGACTGATCAACACCTCAAAAACCCACGCATTGGCAATGGTTCAGCGCAGGTGGCATGTGCACGTATTCCTCAAATGTACTTACAAATCAGTGCACCGTGGATGTGGAAAAAACAAACTGTCCTTGTAAGGGATATCGTCAAAATCCTTGCAGTGTGCCTGTTAAATGGTTCGTGGCGATTCCCATTTGCATGTTATTATGGTTCCCTACGCAGGCTTTTCGTCCACAGCACGTGTACAGAACGAAACGAGCATGAGGTAAAACATTGATTCTTGCGTGGAGACATCCTCGAGTAAAGGATCCTTCACAGTGGTAACTAAACTCTGTATATTGCTCGCCGGAAAGAAAGGCAAACATCCCGAACCCCCCCCTCCCCCTCAAATCCCTCGCCCAGTTAATCCAGTTGCCTATATAGTATGTTGCCAGGCAAAACCATCAAGTCAAACCATGAAACCTAAACCTAGGGCTTAACATGATCAAAGCCTCAAGGTAGACAAATGCGGGTTCCCTACCCCAGCACTTATGGCTTGCCTGAAAGCACTGGCTACCTTACCCGGACCTTTTGGACGTGCCTTGGCCTTCTGGAAGCCTCCGATACCCCGAAAAGGATGACCTTGATGGGTAACATCAGAGTCGCACCTGGTGGTTTCTCCCAATTGGCTTCGCTCCAGAATTCTGTGCATATGAACCCCTCGAAACTCTAAAGGTCGAGCCGGGTATGGCCAACTGCCAAAGGGTCGATCGGATCCACTGCCTCTTCAGCTGGTGCAGCAATGCTAAGACCTGCGGCCGAAGCCGTGAACCCAGCTGGGTGCAGGCCGGGGGGGGGTCTGGAAAATTAATCACACGCCCAAGGTAGCTTGCACATTGTTGGAAGACTTTTTAAGGCTATCCCTTGAGGAGCTATGCACTTCAGGGGTTCATTCATCAGCTGAGTGTGGGGCTTAATACGAGACATTGACATCCAAATTCGGGGGTTCGTGTCCACCTCGCGAGTTGTGTTTTTCCGAACTCAACAAAGACAACTGAACATTCCAACTTCAAGTAGGTCCTGCAGTAGAGAGGTTAGACTAAGGGCACCTTTTTTTCTGTAGTTTATTTCAGCAGGGGAATTGTTCCCCCCCAAAAAAAACAACCGAGAGTAATCGGGCATTTCTGGGGGACCTAGTCAAGCAAAAGCATGGCCCTCGGGGACCCCCCCAAAGGCTTTGACCACAAGACGCGCCTGGACCCACAAGTGGCACTTGGCGCAGGTGGCCATCGCGGCGTCCAGAGCCGCACCCGTGACCTCAGCTCAAACGACCCATGGCTCCATCTGGGAGACCCGGTGGTGTCTTGTTGGAGGGAAAGAACTCGTGGAAAAGGTCCTTTCTATTCAGAAGGGAGAATTGAACCCAAATCATGGTAGAGGGCTGAGTCCTAGTTTGAAACAAAAACAAACAACACCAACCAGACGCAACATGGTTGGGCTCCTCGCTTTCCGTCATCCGCAGGTGTGTAGCCTACACTCACATCTGCGTTGCCGTGGAACCTCTAAATGGGACCCTCTGGTGAGTTCAATGTCAGATGGATGGATGGGTACTGGTTCTTGTGCATTTGTTTGTGTCAAGATCGTTTTAAGAGCCCTTTCAGGATTCATAAAACCCTGGCTCATCAATTGGAGGGGTGCAGGGTGTGCTCAGTTTTGAGGATAACACCCTCCTTCTAGTCCGCAAAGCTTCATCTATGATCCCCTACAGGTCTTCTGAACGTCGCCAAATGCCTTACCCATCCAAGCCGGAACACGTCCGACCAAACCAAAAGCACCCGACTGGAACTTAATTGAACATGCGTGCCCTTCCTTCCGTCTCTCAGTTTCAGAGCTACCCCTTTGAGGGGGTGCCCTTTCAAACCATGCAACAAGAAACTCCATTTTGAGATCAGACCCCCTTCCAGGATCGCTACCTCAAGATTGCCAGCAAAATCAGTTTCCCCCAAATCTTCTAAAGTGGCTCAAGTGAAGCAGACTCGTCAAAATCAAACACAACGCGACTGGCTTGCATGGCGCACGAGGTAGGCATCTACCAACCACTATGTGATTTGCACCTCAACCTGGACATGCTGCGGACTCTCACTGATGCATGTTGAAAAAAACTGATGGTGCTGCAATCCCCCTGGATCGGCATTGTGCATTTCCCGAGTTTCTTGCAGCAAAGAGCCAAGGCTGAGAAAGCGGGGTTCGCTGTTCCTCGGATTTCAAGGGTCATGGTGCTAGAATGGAGGTCCCAACTAGGCCATCCAAAGCGGCTCTCACTTCAGAAAGTGAAAGACGAGCCTTCTGGAACCTGCATTACACACAAGCCAAACAGCAAACCAAACAGGTCAAAAGGCTGGCTTTGGCCAGAGCTTTAGTTCCAGTCTTAAATCCTCAGGTGTCGCAGTCGGCGCTAAAAGCTTTCTTATTGCTTCTTCCGTTTCAGCGCCCCAAATCCATGGATGTTCGGTCTAACCGGACTCTTTAGATCTGCTAAAGCCCTAAACTGGGTTTTCACTTGCCCCCTTCTACAATAAACGGGGGGCGAACTGAACTGCTCATCTCGCTAGCTGAATTGCCAGGTAAGGAAGCTAGACATGCGTCTGTCTCCAAATAGCGAACCCCTTTTTTGGGTTGAAAGGCAAACCAAAAGGACAGCAAGCGCCCCATTAAAGTACGAATAAAGATGTCCAGGCTGAGAGCGTGGACCCCCTCGGCACTGCCGCCTGCCGCTTGGGAGTCTCGCGGAAGGATTCGTGCGAGCAAACCCATAGAACATCCGCAAGCTGTGATCATCAAGAACCTGGTATTAGAATGGTCCATGAAAAACCATGTTCAATGCAAGACAAGACGGCGGCCATACGGTTTGCAATTCCAGTCAAGTCAGCATCCGCTATCTGTCATAGAAGACTGTACTCCATGGCGCGCTGCCTGCCAAGCACAAATAAGCCATGAATTAGGATATTTTTATGGGCTGGTGTTCCCGAGTGGCAAAAATTACAAGGATGAAAGAATAGCCTAAATAAGGGGTTGGTCGCTTGGATTGTTGGTCCAGCCAAGTCAGTCCATCTGCGCTGCTACACACAGCGAAAGCATTATTTCGTGCTTATCTTGAGCTTTGTCGAAGCTGTAGTTTGGGCCACAGGAATGCATATACGCAGCAAAATCCTTGTTTGGTGCCTATTTGATGCTTATTCGAGGCTTATTACTTGTAGCCAAATTGCTTACGCAGCCACATCCTTATTTGGTGCTTATTTGATGCTTACTCGAGGCCTATTTTTGACAATGTTTGCTTTCGGAGCCACATTGCTGCATTTGTGCAGCAAAATCCTTATTGATGCTTATTTTTGCCAATGTTTGTATTTGGAGCCAAATTGCTGCATAAATGCTGCAAAATCCGTATTTGGTGCTTGTTTGATGCTTGTTCTATGCTTATTTTTGCCAATGCTTGTATTTAGCGCCAAATTGCTGCATATGCTGCAAAATCCTTATTCGGTGCTAATTTGACGCTTATTCAATGCATATTCTTGCCAATGTTTGTATGTGGAGCCAAACTGCTTCATATATGCTGCAAAATCCTTATTTGGTGCTAATTTGATGCTTATCCGATGCTTATTTTTGCCAATGTTTGTATGTGGAGTCAAATTGCTGCATATATGCAGCAAAATCATTATTTTGTGCCTATCAAATAAGCACTGCATATTTGCTGCAAAATCCTTATTTGGTGCTTATTTGATGCTTATTCAATGCTTATGTTTGCCAATGTTTGTATGTGGAGCCAAATTGCTGCATATATGCAGCAAAATCCTTTTGGTGCTTATTTAACGCTTATTCGATGCTTGCTTTTTTGCAATGTTTGCATTTGGAGCCAAATTGCTGCATATATGCTGCAAAATCCTTATTTGGTGCTTATTTGATGCTTATTCGATGCTTGTTCTATTGCTTGTTTGATGCTTATTCGATGCTTGTTTTTGCCAATGTTTGCCAAATTGCTACATTCATACTGCACACACATGTGTGTGCTCGGGGCCAATTTGATGGGGTTACCTCGCCTCAGACCTCCCTCGTCGATCTGGTTCATTGTGTTGAGCTGAACAACCTCATGGATATGACCTGACGGGCAAGCTACCATACCCTTTGTCCAGATCATTGAATCACGGCAAAACCCTACCAAACAATTGCAAGAAGCCGACTCAGTTTCACCAAGCATAACATTAAATAAGGCTTACTTGAACACTCCCAGGCCACACTGCCGCAAGAACCCTTGACAAAGCATCATCGAGGCAAATAACATCTAAATAAGGCCTATTTTCAAACACCCAAAATCAGCCACAAATAAACCTTATTTAAGGGCCAACAGTCAACCTTCCAAAATAACCCTTAAATAAGGCTTATTCATGGTCTAGTTTGTTTCCCCAAACCTTAGCCATTATTTTTGGGGGGGGGGAGTACTGGGGGGGGGGAGTATAAACTTCTATGAATCTGGGCACATCCCAATGTGCGGCTTGCTGATTGCAGCAAGGGGACCTTAGAAATTCTGCCCGTGTTGGTCTATTTTACATCCATTCTACCCTTGATGTATTCCCACGTAGTCCAAGAGATCCTAACAACACTAAGTGCATCTGCGTACTTCACCCAGTTGTCTCCTCTTTCAGCACTCTTCCAGCTTTCTTGTTGCTGCGTTCCTTACTCATGAACTATCCAGGGGTATTGATTGTGGCTCAGCTTATGCGTGTTTGGTGACCATGGGCAAAGACGCAAGCAAACACACACACACACACAGCCACACACTCACACCCTTTCACAACGGGTAACGCCCGCTCCCAAAAACAACTATGGCGAGCTAAACGAATATTTAAACCACCCAATGCTGAAGCACAGGAAGCGCGAAAACGCGACACACCTAAACTGATTCAAGAACAGTGGAAGTCACTACTCCTTTCCTGGGTGTAACAAACTACCAATCACTCAAGAAATTCCCCTAATGACCGTTGACCCCCCACCCACCGCATCGCCTCGATCCATCTCATCGAGCAGCGCAATTGCCTTGGGCTTACATGATGAGACATCTGCCAACAGTCCTCGGCATACTGTGGATGGACGAAATCCATTTCGCACTACTTTGAAACCATGGGATACCATTGTTTGTTGGTATTTACAGGGGAGTCATAATTACAGGGCTTCTTAGGTGGTGCAGGATTTCGTCCATCCACAGTATGCCCAGTGACCATAGCTTGTCCTTTCGCCCTCCTTTTTTTGGGACAGGCTTGGGATACCTCTTGGACACCAGGTGCTAGACACTTTCCAGCGGTAGTCTGAAACGTACAGTTCCGTAAACAAACATGTCGTAATTGTTGGGCTTGGTAATTTTGGTGGGGAATCCCGTAACAAGCGAAGAAGAAAGGGAACCATTGAACACCTCGGTCTGCGGCATGGTCAAGACTCTGGCAATTGTGTGGTTGAACCCGGACACTTGTCAAACTTCTGTTCGTGACCAGCCAAGAACCAAGTGAATCATCTGCCTTCACCTTGG